ATACTTGCTTTTTCTGAAACTTCTTTTAACTGTGACATCTACATTAAACTTTAAGTACTCTTTTAAAGGAGGAACCCAAGATCCAGCAATGGGCTTGCGCTCTTTTGTACTCTTGATAGTCGAGGCTGTCAGACACAAAAAAAAACTCGTTAATCGATGAAAAAGATTAAGGCCACCTGCTTTTACTTCAAAAGCCAATCTTGAGTAGAAAGAGTTCAATTAGCCGATCAACTTCGAAATGCCTCCCCTTGAAGATGATCTTGTTCCGACAAAGCCAAATAGTACACACTATACCACAAAATTTAAGTGCCACAAAGGCTTTAACGAAAGTCTTTATAGACAAAATTATCCCAAGCCAATGTTGGGAATCATGGTCTTTACCGCTTCGTGAAGTTAATATAAGTACTTAGAGATTAAGAAGAGTAAAGAGATAATTCTCCAATTTGGAGATTTTTTCATTATACAAAAGAATAGTAGGATTACAAGGATGTGTTCACAAAATTTGACTCACACTTAGTGGCTCACTCAAGCTTGAGGATAAAGACTTCCCAAGCTATCTCTCTTCTCTCTCAAAGAGGCTCTCTAACTCTCTTAGTATTTTTGGATTTCTTGGATGGAAGTCTCTCACCCCTATTTATACTACTCTACATCCACAATGAATGGTGGTGATTACTTACATCCAATGGTGAAGATTAATTATCTAAAATGCTCCATACACTCTAAGAAACTCTATACTCTTCTGCTCCCTTCCATATTCTTCCAACTCTTCCATAAGGTTTCACACATCTTCAGAATATTCTAGGAAATTACACACTCTTCCACAAGCTTCTAGAGAGTTATACACTTCTCTAAGTTCTCCAAAATGTTTTAGAAAATTCTAAATTTTTCCAGAAAATTTTAGAATTTTTCTAGAACCTCTCCAATTAAGGAGAGATCCAACAACCAAAAGAAATGACTTCAATGAACCTGGAACCACTACGTTCATATTCCAATAATTACACCACGCTTGCCAAACTCTCCACGAGACTTCATAGAAGCAAAACAAATGTTCGACTGTTTCCGACTCTTTAGAACATAGTACACACATTAGTTCATCCCCAACATCTATCCCACGCTTTGATAGTTCATTTTGGACAGGAATTCGACTTTGAACAGCTCTCCACAAGAAGCATTCTACCTTAGGGGGAGCCAAACCAGCCCATACAAGCTTCCAACATCTATCGGCAATAGACCCCCAATTCCCAGTTGAACAAACGTCTCCTTAGCTTTACATTGTTTCAAGGATGGAACTTACTAATATAGTTTTGGTGTGATTATGTTTATATACTTTTGCTTTCATTTGGTGAAGTAATCAATTGTGGATCGAAAGAAATTGAATGTTAACTCCTATATTTTCATTTTTTTAAATTTAAACATAATTAGGAAGCAAACAAGGTGCGGAAAAGAAACAAGGCAATTGAAGGTATTAAGCAGAGGCAAAAACAGAGCATAAGCAAACAGGACGATAACCACCGTGTCTTGAATACACAGAAGCTTTTTCCCATTAGAATCTCTATAGCCCTACGATCATAAACGCCAATGCTTGAAAGGAACATTGTTTTTGAATGAATTTTATTTTTTTACATTTTTGCATCATTTTCATCTGCACTTTAAATGAATGAACTGCACGAAAAGAGATTTATACAGTAATCTTGAACGCTTTAAAATTTTAATTTACTTTAATTTATAAAATAAGTTTCAAATACACCTGCAACGAATACCCTGCGGGAAGTAGTCATCATCTCCTAATCCTCATAATCATCTTATCTTTGCATATTTTAAAAAAAGAAAGAAAACGAAGAAGATGTGTACACTCCATTGTCAACACTCGAGTCCCTTTTTGCAATCAAGAGCTCCGGCAAAACGAGTGAGCCTTCCGACAAATGTTGTTGGCTTCGCACTTATCATCTCCATCTTCGTGAAGTCGTAATGGGGTGATTTGAGCGACCCCGATGTCCGGAAACGGGCTCCGTTCAACAACAATTCTCCTTCTGATCTCCATATCCATTTGCACCATTTCGATTCCGACGCATAATTCCTGTTTGTTACCTGCACGTACACAACATTTGTATGGATTAGTAATTAAACTTGAATTATAAGATAATTATCGTATTGCAATTCGGTTCACCTCTTTTGCTTTAAAATAGTCTGGAGCAACGAATCTGTTGCCCTGACTGATGATGGTGGGATGCTTGCTCCCGCCAATGGCATACATTTTCCAATGCGTGTAATCGTTGTTAACAACATGGAAGAAACCCCATCTACATCTTGGCATTCTTTGTATCAGTTCCTTACCGAAATGGTTAAACGTTACAGTGACTTGCATCAACTTATCTCTTTCGTAACTATCACTTGCACCCAATAAAATCACCTTAACAAAGAATCGAATATCGTTGATTATATAATATATTTATAATGAAAACATGTAGAGTGCTGAGCGCATATATTTACATCGTTATGGTAAAATGACAGTTTGAGATTGTGATGGCGGTGGAGCCTTGAACTGCATCAATGAGTTCATCTTGACATTCCGACATCGAAAGGTGATCGAGCCAAATGTTTGTCGATCCGAATATGTTAATGCCATCTCCGTCGCCTTTTTCCGCAGACCATAATGATCCACCGAGTCCCTTATCACGGTACTCTGACTCGGAAGAACGTGATGTACATGGATGCCATGGATGATGACATTTTGCACGAATTGAAGTGTCATGCCGGCTCCATATCCGATATGGACGTTGGCTCTGCAACAGTCGATTGTCTTCTTGCTTTGGATAATCAGCTCATGCGACAACTTGATGTGCATGTAGTGAGCGAAAATGATCCAGAACGGCTCTTTCTGAATCACGACCCAACGTAAAGTTCCATACTTAGGGTTTAACATGTCATCATCGGAATTCTCGTTCACCACGTACAAATCCCCGTCTTTTCCTCCGGTTTTGTGGCCAAAACCAACCACGCAATTCGCAAGCTTCTTACGGTTGTCGGCCCCGTCTTCCCTACACCGCCAGCATTTGTCGATGGGGTTGGTCGCCACTCATGGACCCGTGTACTTCTTGTGTTTGCCCCCCAAGCTCCTCCTGGTCATGGTGTTATTACGCTATCACCGTCACCATCCAAATCCCAGATTTGGTTTCTGGAATTTTTAAGTGCCCTGAACCAAGTTTTCTATCAAACACGATCAATTATAACACACACACATATATTTATATTAGAAGTGTATGAATAAGATTTACAGGTTGACATGTCGATTGAGTTTTATGGTGACGTTTTCTGGGTTGGGATCATAAGCAGCGAGGGTGTTGTTCAATGCTTCTTGCTCGCGTTGCTTCCAGAATTCATCCTATTCAGCAATAAAACTTCCCCAAAGGGTTGGGATTAGTGTTGCAAATGAAAAAAGGAACACCAGCCGGGCCGTACTCGTATTCATTCCTGTTTCCTTCTAATCATTCTCGTCTTTTGTTATTGTCATTTTTGTTTTGGACTTGGTTAAGGCCCTAGGATTTACGACTGAACAGTAACTACAAGTTCAATCCCAGTTAACACCAATTAAAATATGGTGTAAACCTGATTTATCTAAGGCACTAAGCTGCTATGTGCCAACTTTTGAAGGTTGGCCAGCGACTAATTCGTTTATTTAGATATATTACCTGTGGGATTCAAGACCCTTTTTTGAGTTTAAATAATGCTTCTGTATGGTTATAAAATTAGTGTGTAGAGAATAGCCACCATTTACTACATTCTTTGTTTTCCCCACAAATACACTACACTTTTTCATTTCATCAGTGCCACCAGTATCACCGAATGTGCCGGCGCACAAACAAAAGATGGGCTTCCTTGAGCTCCATTAACTAATCCGTATACGGGAATTTATGTTATAAGGTACGAACTTAAAAATTTTAAGAGATACGAAATTATAAAATTTTAGGGATGTAAAACTGGATAATCAATGGAAAATATAAGAAAAACTTACAAAATATAATAAAATTTAAAATTTGTAGGGAGTGCAACCGCACTCCACAACACTCCCTTGGTCATCCTTACATACAATATCTTGTAAAGACCGAATTTAAAAAACATTTAAACCTTAAAGTAAGGGTCGAAATTCATTATATCTTTAGAGATGATTTCTAAAAACCTTTTCATCAACCAAAATTTTCAACTAGTTTATATTTTCCAAACATAGATTTCTAGTCAACTACAACTCATAAATTGACTTCTGATAGACTTATGTAATATGCCAGAACAAAATCTAAAATTTATCTATTAGATAGTCACGATGACCCTATGGGTGGCACGTGAATTAAAGTCCACTATAAATATCTTCAATCAAGGCGAAAAAGAGGGATCAACCAATCATTAACACCGTTGACCCTTCCGAATCTTTTTTTCTTTTTCTTTCTCCTCGTGATGACTCATTCTCTTCTTTATTCAAATAGTGATCAATAGTCGTTCTGCCATCGACTACAAATCTCCATTCAAATAAAAAAAAATGAACCATAAAAAAAGTCTTGTTGCCATCAACAAAATTTAATTTATTTAATTTTAAAATTTACCAGGACCAAATAAATATAAATGAGTAGATTAAAATTTAATTTCATTGATTTTAAAATTGACGTTGACTTGAAAATTAAACCCAAAAATTTATTATATTCGAGTTGCTAAACTTACGTTAATTAATTAAAATTTATTAAGGATTTATAAATAAATTATACCCAAAAATTTAGGGTGGTGAGGGCTTCTCAGAGCTTAAATAGTTTTGTCCCTGAAAAACAAGAACTAAATCTATAAACTTATATAAAGTACAAGGACTAATAGCCTAAATAGTTTCCATTGAACACCACACTCCTCCATGTAAATTTCAACAGTTATAGAATTGTAACGCCACGAGCAAAGTGTTGAAGAAAAGGTACAAGGCTGAACAATATATAAATATGAAGTAGAGACGGCAACGCATTCAGTATACATAACAAATTAAGTCCTTAAACCTCTCCATCTTGCTCCTCCATCCGACGAAGTTTGAAGGAGAAGGAACGTGGAGAGATTGCATTGTCCGTCATACGAATCAGATTGTAACACCACGCCCCCATCAACGTCCCCGTCACTGGTCCAACCATGTATATCCATATTCCCTTGTACTGATCACTGGCTAACGCTGGTCCGATCGTCCTCGCCGGGTTCATCGATCCTCCCGATACTGGTCTGGATTCCATTTCCCTACACAACTCGTTAGTACGTATAATTTTTATGAAGACTAATCAACAAGAAGCTTGATATTACCCGGCTAAGATTGAAGTTATGCAGACAGCTGAACCCACTGCTATGCCTGCTAGCTCCCCTATCTGTCATTGTGGGAACATATACATTATTTATATAAAAGGTATAATCTAAAAGAATATCTCTGACGTTTGATAAAAAAAAATCATTTTAATTTTTATTTTTCATCGGCACTTTGACTTTAATATTTTATTTTAGCATAAAATGCCTTTAGTTAGATGAAAATCGTTAGTAGATTGGTGATCAACGTTTTTCGTTAACGTAATAAATCTTATGTGTCCAAAGTGATGACGTGATATGTATCACATGTTGATGTGATAATGTGACAAAAATCATGTGTACATAACTGATGATGTAGCACATGTCACATATATATAAGTGATGACTTAATGTATGACATGCCATCATTTTGGAAAGATATGAATTGTCACGTCATACAATAACCATTAATCAATTAAAGATTTTCATCAAACTATTGAGCATTTTATCTCAAAATAAAATGTTGGAGTGCTTAAAAAATAGAGTTCAAAGTGATTATTCTATGTAACATTAAGGATGACTTTTAATATTATACATATAAAAAAAAGAGAAAATTTCAATTTTATTCACAATTTTGAACGGAAAAATGATAATCTTACAGCTTTAGAATCAGTGGCCACAGCTGAAGTGATAAACATCATTGAGAAGGTGACAACTATTTCCATGATCAGAGCTTGCAAATCTGAACCAGATGGTGATGTGGTGCCAACATGTTTTATTGGATGTAATAATACACGAAGTGTGAATGATGCAGAAATGGCTCCTGTTAGTTGAGCTGCACCATAAACTGGGACCTGCAGGGCTTAATTAATTTTATGCAATTTGAACATAATTTAACCATTAATTATTGCATACTGTCTTCACAATTATTAATCTCAAATACAATATTTGTCCCTTCATGCATGTTCCCCACTTTATACAACTCAAACAGATAAGTTCAGTTCCCACCACTATTTTCTAATTTTCTTTAAATAAAACAATTAATATAAATTCAAATAATTCCATATTTTCTATATTGGTATATAACAATGACGTTGTTAGTTGGATATTAAATTCCCCATACCATGAAAATAAATGTTTTGATTATATATATTATTTGGCCATGATTATTCCAGCAGTTACATATCACGTATGTACTAATTGTGGGTTGAGTTGACCCTCGTAACTACCAACTTCAATGGTTCATCAAATGGTCCAAAATTATGAACCCCTGAGCTCGACCCTACAGCACTACTAGCCATGTGCCCATGTCCCCGTATAGGAATGAACCGAAGAGCGATCAAGACAATCACCCTTCAATTTATTCCCTAGAAATTTTTAAATTCTTCCTCTAAAATTTTAAAAGTTTATCCTTCAAATAAAATTTCACCCATATCAATCTAATTCTCCGTCGATGAAAACCAAACCACCTTCGTCGAAATATACTCTGAAACGATCAATCAACAAAAAAGTGAATATTATTTTTTTATGATCATAGACTCATAGTTTCCTAAGCAAGAAACATGGTGATTGTGAGGAACTAAAAAGAAAAAGGGAACCTGTTTCCAGGGAAAATGTCTGACAGCAGCAAATGCAATGGTAACAGCCGGGTTCATGTGTGCACCAGAAACATGACCAACTGCGTAGATCATTCCCGTCACGATAAGCCCGCCGGCAACGGAAGCTCCGAGCCTGAGATTTTGCGTTCGTCGACGGAACTAATGGCAGCAGATCCACACGTCACGAAAACCAGCAAGTAGGTTGCTATGATCTCTGCAAACACCTGTTGTACAACAACATACATATGATACATATAATGTCTTTTTTTTATAGGACAAGAACATACTGAAGCCTGTGGTTATACCTTTCTTGGGAAATCAGGAGGGTAGTGTCGTAGAAACGATGCCTGTCTTTGGGATGTGGGGTTTTGATCCATTGGGGAATCCTCAGTTATAGCCATTATTGAAGAACTCACAATAAGAAAAGCAACTCAGAAATTGAAAGACAACTTCAAGCCTAAAAGGAACACCAACTTAATTTCTCAATGCTCTTTTGTAATGGTTTTGGCCTACCACTCCACCTCCCAATCCATTCTGATTAATTAAATTTATAAATACATTATTTTATCTGAATTACTATTTAAATACCAACTTTTATATAAATAATCAGATAATTATTTGATACATAAATAAATAAAATAAAATCTCAAAATCTTGACTCGGTATAACCATCTGATTTTCCAATAGAGACACATGGACATATAAATCGTTTATGGAACATAAAAGAGATTACGAATATCTAAATAATAATCAATTATATATCATAATTAAATCATTTTACAGACAGTCGGCATACAATGCCTACTTTCCACTACTGAGATTTTATTGTTCTTGCCTTCCAGCTATGCGTTAATTATGAAGATATTTACGATTTCAGTTTCCTCAATCAATCTTAATTTAGTCCATGTCTAACTTGTTGTTCTTATAATTTGGTTTCAAATTAATAATAAATGATGTTTTTTAAAACTAATATATTTTATTTAATGTCATAATTAATATTAAAAATATGTTCTTATATTATTTTAGAATTTATGTTATATATGATTAATATATTTTATAAAACAAATAAAATTAATTTCAATAATAACAATTTAGTCTAAGTATTATGTTTATTAATAATACAATAAGTTTCTAGTTTGATTTAGTGATTAGTGTAATGTTTTTATTTATTAAGGATTCAGGGTTAATTATTTTTAAAGTCATGCACATATTTTCTAATTTTTCACCAATATGATGATGGCATGCGGTATCATTTTAATATATGATATTAAATTATTTTGGAAAATAATTTGTAGACACACTACATCAGTTGTCGCTAACTACAATGATTATAGTGAAAGTGAATTAAAAGTTCAATGACTCTAATACATGTTTTAAATGTTTGATGAACAAAATACAAGTGACCTTTAAATTCAAGGACTAATAGTATAATTTTCTCAAAATATTAATTTTAAAATATAGGGTAAACTATAGGAATTGTCTCTTATGTTTTAGGTCTAACTGACTTTGGTCATCGGTTCAAAAAAAATGATCGATCTTTATCTTATCGGTCTATTCGATTTTAATCTTTCAACCGTTAATTTTCGTTAATCCCTTAACAAAAGTGTTACATGGCAATTAAAAATAATCCACGTGTTGTGTGTCTTCTTCTTCTTCTTTTTTCATAAACCGAATGCGCTATAAAACAGGTTGGGTTTTTGGCCCATTAAAATCTGACCCAAAAGTTAGACCTTTCCATCTGCACCCAACGCGAAATGACATTTAGGAGGGTTGCAACCAACTTAAAATTCAATAAAAAAAATTAGGTCAAAATTCATATACGATTATATATATATATATATATAATTCATTTTTATTAGGTGAAATAAGGATTTAATTAAAAAATAAAAAGGATATTATTACAACTAGTCTTAAAAATATAAAAGATAATTATAATATTATATCAAATCGAATCGGATCGGATCAAAATTTTTCACCCTAAACACTAAATTTTATTCAACTCTACTATTAAAAAAATTCGATCATACTAAATTTGAAGTTAAACTTTTAAAATAGAAAACCAATCTAACCAGATCAAGTCTAATTAAAATTCATCAAATCCGGGTGAATTCACCATCCCTATACATGATATCTCTTCCAAACTAAGGCTCCAAGGTGCTTCGGGATCAGTCCCTTCCTCCTGCTCCAACCGTCATTCATCCTGTGGTGTTAGCCTTTTGTTTGATTGTTCAAGTTTATTGAAGTTAGTTCGTTTGTCTTTTTGTAATATAAAGGTATTTTATATTATAAACTATTGAATTTAGCTTTAATTTTTAAATAGATTATTAATTAATTTGATAAAATCATGTCATTTAACTTCAATCGTTAATGAATAAAACCCCCATATTAATACCATAAAGTTATTTTAACATAAAAGGTTGAGTACTTAACATATTTACATATCAATTAATTAATATTTATGTATTTTATACTTTAAATAAAATTTTCTCATAATAGAGAAATTAATTTTGTTTTAATTGTGTCATAATGAAACCGTGCTAATTGAATCAAATTTTAAACTTTTTGTATTGTTATCCACCACTCTCACGCTAGACTATTATGGGTAAGCTACGTTTTTTGTCACTCAACTCGGTCTTTTTTTTATTCTGGCCGTCAAATTTTATAAACTTTTAATTGTACCACCTAACTTCTAAATTTTATTTTATTTATTAATTGTCTCGTGTTGCTTAAAATTTTGATAAAGTTTATGCAAAATGCCCTTGAAGCTCTCCTCCCAAGTTCGTATTTCCGGAGTCTTTCTGATTTAAAGGTGCCGTAATATTTTTATTTCGAATACGAGCAATGAAGAGATTGAAAAAGAAGAGAAAATAAATATTTATTTGTCATTTTCAGTATTGCTGGACCACATGTCTTATGGGCTAATATAGGGGTGATGTGATAAATCTAATACATCACATTCACTTTTGAGGCTGAAAATGTTTCTCCAAGTTCTTATTTAATTTTACTGAATTAATTGAATTTTTAAATAATACAAGTGATCATGAAATCGTTTAAATAATATTAATTGAAATAATATTTTTGGTGGTAGGAAAAAAGAGGAGTTGTGGGTTACGTATCATCGTTATTAACTGAACGTGAAATGTTGAATTGTATACCAACACTTGTGTTTTGTATGCTCCACTGATAGTGAATGTGACATTCCCGGCGGCTGAACGGACCACCAGCCTTCAATTTGTGGTCCTCCCCGCAAACCTTCAAATTACATTTAATTCTTTGTTTTTGTTCTTGTATATATATATATAAGAACTGTTGTTTTCTCTGATTCATCAGGATTCGAATGGTTTTATTTATACGATTGACACATACATAAAATCTTTTGAATGCCTGGGAGATGAAATATGACTTCTACGAAATCATCTTACGTTATTTTCTCCTTTGTTACAGTCTGATAATTGATATATCATCCATTACGAATCTTCATCTAAATCGTAAAAAATGAACCGTCAATAACTATCATAATTTATTTAGTCCCGTTAATAATACAAACTATGATACAATATAGCAATTATATTATGTTAATCATATAAATATAGTAACTTTTATATAATTTAAATTGTTAATCTCTTAAAGATATTATGTAAAATTGAATATGAAAGCACAAACGAATTTAAGTTCACGTGATTTTATAGCACTGTTAGTGAGTTTCGCCACGGCAAGGATATATACAAAAGAAGATAAATAAAATGTGAATGATTGGTAAGATAATTAATTAATCATTACATTAAAGGTTAAAGTTGGTCCAAGTCTCATCAAATAATATTTCTGGCAGCAAAATCTGACACTGCATCTGAACTAATTAGGCAGTCAAGTCAAGTTAGACATACTGCAGACACATGTTTTTTCTTTTATATTAAAAAGTTCATTCTATTTTTTTAAAATTTATTTCATTTTTTACATAATATTAAAATTAAATTATTAAATATTATTAAACAAATTTATTACTAATTGATTTCATTAATTTAGCTAATAATTTAATTTAACAAAACCAATAAAGGTCAATAACGGATAGACATGGTCAAATAATTATTGAAGGTTGAAATAAGTTGGGCATTACAATTAAATTATAATAGTTATTTTAAAGAAATATTTGTAAATTTAAATTTATTTTTAAGAATACATATTTATCATTTCAGCAAATATTTGTTGATGCATTAGATCTCATTTAATGATCCTGCGGATTTGATTTATATTCAAATACTTTATATTATCACAAACTTTTTTTTTACATGTTGATGTTGTTTAATTGTATAAATTTATGTCAAAATTGTCAGCTCGATGAAAAGTTTAAAATAATGGAGAAGTTTCAGGCAACTTTCGTCGTGTTCGAACATAGCAGCGCAGAAGACAAAAGAAGGGAAAACAACACACAAGTGTTCAAACAAAACTGGAACCCTTACCACGTGGTGACAAGACAGTTCCGTCCAAATCAGTATTTTCAAAACAAGGGTTATTAAACTAAGGTATTTTCCCTCTCGATTCTCGATATTTCATTTTTGGCTAATTTAAATCGATTCATGTCGTATATTTAATTTTAGTGAGTGAATCTCTTAATATGACATTTCTGTATACATAAATAAAGACTCAATCGAAAACTTACTTAAGTGATATCAAACTTCTTTTCATAGAACAAATCCTCATTGATAAAGGTTTTGAACCTATATAGTCACCTCTATTATGGAAAGAAATATTATTTTGATTTTAAATTTGAAAATTATATCTATAAAAATATATATATATTATTAATGATTAAAAAATATTTTGAGAAACTATTAAATAATTTCAGTGGTTAAGAACATGTTATTATCATTTAAGGTTATGAATTCGAGTAGCTACTTTCGGAGGATATATATAATTATCAATAATTAAGAAAAATTTTGAAATAGATACTATCATTATAATCAGGTAATTAAAAAAAGATTTTGAACATATATTATATTTCTATAATCTTAGACTATTTTTAAAAATATTAAAATAAAATACCAGTTATAATTAAATTTTGTTATCTAATTTATAATTATTAATAATTTCATATATAAAACATTTTAAGGTAATTTAATGATTTTTTAGTTGTACATTTATTTTTAGAAACATGGCACGTATAGACAACGTCGGATTTAAATCTAAACTACTCATAATATTTTAATTAATTTTCTATGCCTGTATTTATTACTACCATGTATCATGTGTGCATACAATTTTAGGTTAAATTTAAGAAGATGATCTGAGTTTTTCTTTTACATCATTCAAGCAGTATTCGAGGTTTTCTTCGTTTCTGTCGATTAAGAAAGGCGATGTCACACGAGGAACTATCCCTCACTCTGCCTCTCATTGAGGATGAAAATAAACAAGTAGACGAATTAAATCCCCATGGCAGTGCAACCACCGTCTCTGTTTTCAGAACCTGTTTCAATGGCCTTAATGCTCTTTCAGGTTCACTTTTCTTCATCTTCTTTCAATGGCACTGTTTGATTTTGTTTATTTCTTTCGAATTATTCATCTGGTTTTACATTTATAAAAAAACCCTTTTTTTATTGCAGGGGTAGGAATATTATCAATCCCATATGCATTGGCATCAGGAGGATGGTTGAGCTTGATATTTTTATTCGCCATTGCCACTGCTGCATTCTACTCGGGCTTGTTGATTCAAAGATGTATGGATACAGATCCTAGAATCAGAACTTATCCCGATATAGGCGAGCGCGCATTCGGGGACAGAGGGCGGCTATTAGCTTCGGTTGTCATGAACATCGAGCTCTACTTGGTGGCCACTGGTTTTTTGATTCTCGAAGGAGATAACTTGCATAATTTGTTACCCATTGGGGAGTTTGAAGTCGGAGGATTAACGATTGGTGCCAAACAAGGGTTTATTATACTCGTAGCTCTCATAATATTGCCTACTGTTTGGTTGGATAATTTGAGCCTTCTTTCTTATGTCTCAGCCAGTGGGGTTTTGGCTTCTGCAGTCATCTTGGTTTCCATCATCTGGACTGGTGCATTTGATGGTGTTGGGTTTAAACAAAAGGGAAAACTCATAAACTATGGTGGAATCCCCACTGCCGTTAGCTTATATGCCTTCTGTTATTGCTCTCATCCAGTTTTCCCTACTCTTTACACTTCAATGAAGAAGAGGCATCAATTCTCCAACGTAAGTATCTGTCAAAATTCATGTTGTTTCTGCAATAGTCTGGTTTTGGATATTGTTTTGAAGTAAACTTGCCTGGTTTCTCTTAGGTGTTGGTTGTATGTTTTGTGTTATGTACCATATGTTACTCGTCGATGGCGATTTTCGGGTACTTGATGTTCGGATCAGATGTTCAATCACAGATAACTCTCAACCTTCCTACTGACAAACTCAGCTCAAGAATTGCAATATATACTACCCTGGTCAATCCCATATCCAAATATGCATTGATGGTTACACCCATCGTGAATGCCGTTAAGAGCGTGATTCGATATCGATGCGGGAAGCGGGTCCTCCACCTCTTTGTAGGCACCACCCTGGTGATAAGCACTGTCTTGGTGGCTCTTGCAGTTCCATTTTTCGGTTCCCTAATGTCCTTAGTCGGAGCGTTTTTAAGTATATCTGCTTCGGTCTTACTACCGTGTGTCTGCTACTTGAAGATATCGGGAACTTACCGAGATTCAACTTCGAACTGGTTGCCGTAGCCTAATCATTTTGATGAGTGCTGCAGTGGTTATATTTGGTACTTACACATCTGTTTTAGAAATAGTAGGCAACTTTTGAACAGCAGTGGTTTTTGTAGATGCTTATTTTGTTATATTACATAATGCATTTGTAGAGTAATTTTGGAGAAATTCAGATGATTGTGGGTCTGTTAAGGGTTTCAATCTTCCTTTAGTAGATGATCTCTCGATCACTTCAGACTAGGATCTTTACCATAATGCAGGGAATGGAGACTTAATTTTCTATTTTTATAAGGGGCATAATACTAAAATTAGTCCCTAACATTGATCAAAATAGTCATTTTGTCTCATATTCTTTTTTTTTTAGCATTTTGGCTCCTAACATTTCATTTTGGGCAAAAAAGCCCCTCCATGGATGAACACCATTAGTTAACAAACGGTTAACGCTATAAAATAAGACTTTTTTTACCTTAAAATGAAACGTTGAAAGCTAAAATACTTCCGGATAAAAAGTAAAGATCAAAGTGACTATTTACTCAACCATTATGAGTTTTTTTGTCTTAAAATAAGATGGTGGGGGTAAAAGTACTAAAAAGAGCCAAAATAGCCATTCTAGTAAACATTGGGGAGCTAATTTTGACATTACCCTTTAGAAGAAAATAATTACAAAGATTTACTGTAATTTAGATATTCATAATCAAAATTAGATAAAAACAAGTTTGAAAGTGGTTATGACTTCTTAAACGTGTAATTTTAAATTTTTTGATCCGAGTATAATTCGGTTATTATAATTATACTTTATTTAGTGAGATTTACTAATCATAATGATTATTTAAATATTTTCAATCAAATTCAATTATAAGATGATTTTTCAAATACACATTAGTAATTACAACAAAATATAATAATTGAGGCAATACATACAACCTCTTATAATTAAAAGGAAATATAATTTATATATATATTTTTTTTATTGGAAAACTGTAATTATGCAATATTTAATGAGATCTAATAATTAAAATATAACTTCTGTTATTAGTTTTAGGAATACTTAATGTTGTATAGCATGTTATTCAGGGATGAAGGGGGAAATCATTTTAGGAATAAAATTAAATTATTAATTTTAAAACATGGCATAAACATTATATACATGATATTACAAATTTTTAATTTTGACCTTTAAATAATAATATTTAAAAATTAATAACTGCATCATAGTGTAGAATTGGTGAAGTGAGTCGTCAATCTCATTCATCACCAAGAATTGCTACTGCATTCATATTCAGCGTCGTTACTATTCATTAACTGCGAGTAACTACCTTCTACTTTGAAATTCCTACTAATAAGAAAATATTCGAAATTCCTTGCCCTTTAAATATCAAACCATCACTTCTTTAGCCAGCAGGCAGTTATTCTCCCCCAAAACAAAATGGAGCAAACTGACCATGGAATTGGCATCAAAGTTTACACTGCAACACCACCACGGGAGAATCCTACACCCATCTCCTCCCTCGCTCGACTGCCACCGGAACCTGGCCGGAGGCGGAAAGTCATGGCCAAAGGGGTTCAAAAAACCATATCCAAAACTTCCATGCTCGTCTACTTCCTTCCCACAGGCACTCTTTTAACTTTCGAATTGGTTCTACCTTCTGTTTACCGCCATGGTGTTTGCACCCATGTTACCACCATCATGATTTACTCCCTCTTAGGCCTCTGCGCTCTCTCTTGCTTCTTCTTCCACTTCACCGATAGTTTCCGAGGTCCCGACGGGACGGTTTACTATGGTTTCGTGACGCCTAACGGACTGGCCCTTTTCAAGCCTGGTCTTGAAGTCGAATCCCCAAAAGATGACAAGTACAAGGTTGGACTTACAGACTTCATTCACGCCATCATGTCGGTCTTGGTGTTCGTGGCGATCGCTTTGTCGGATCACGGAGTTACCAACTGTGTTTTCCCAGGACGCGAGAAGGAGATGGATCAAGTTATGGAGGGTTTTCCATTGATGGTGGGGGTTATTTTCAGTGGCTTGTTTCTCGTGTTTCCCAAAACTAGATTTGGCGTTGGTTGCATGGCTGTTTGATATTTAGTGGTTTAGTATCTTAGTATATGTAGATGTAAATTTGAAATGAATATAAGAATAAATTTCTTCGACGGTTCATGGCTTGTGTTACGGATTTTGTATGTCTTCTTCTGATTTATGGGAGTATTTGATCAAACTATGAAATGAAAAGAAAACTAAAAAAACTGGAGAGATAGAGCGAATCTAATATACTTCTTTTAGAAAGCAACAGATCAGGACATAACCCACAAAATCGTCCAAGTGGAAAAGATTTTTCAATGATCATAACTAGGATGCAAGCTCAATGTAATGGTGAATTCTTTCCCAATCAAACTGCGAAATACGAGCAACTCGATAAGAGCCCTGCGAAACCCCTTGATAGGCAACCTTCAATTGCACAAGGAGACTTCGAACAACACATTGTACTACTGTGTTTGACAATTTCCATGCAATCATTAGATGAATTCTGGGGAGGAATATCTTCCTTATGAACTGATCTGTGTGCAATCAACCTACTTCTCTTAGTATTCAATGAGCAATTCAGGTCTGACGAGTTCAAGAAGTGTGGATCCGAGGACTCCATTTCGTCGTCATGGCATTCAAGCAATTTCCTCCTCATCCCAGGATATACACTTAATCCTGCTACGTGATATCATTATAATATAACATAAATAATCTATTCCAGTCCATATAAGCAGGAAACTTACATAAAGGAATATCTGAAAGCTAATATATGGCATACCGGGCAAACTCTCCTCATATGCACACGACTGCGAGTCCAGATCAACACAGCAACAGAAAACGTTTGAATCTTTGTTAGATCCCGAAATTCTGCAGCGGGGGAGCAAGCAGGGATGAGGGGTTTCAGGCATCCAGGTATAGTGTGCATGCAAATTGCAATAGCATTATTTCTTTAAACCATTCCGGAAGATCGGCATCATAAATGATCAAATGACACGCAGCATGATTATTAGTCAATGAAAAAATGAAATTGATGGATGGATGTCCCTTGTTCCCATATGGGTAAGGGGAGGTAAGATAGTAGGTTGTCCCCAACACTAGGCTGAGAGCACTTTCGTAGGAGACCATCCAGCTCAGTTGGTAGAGCACAAGGTTCTTAACATTGAGGTCGTGGGATCGAGTCCTATGGAAGGTATTTCATAATTTGGAGGTCTCCTACGGAAATTGCTCTCAACCTAGTGTTGGGGGCAGCCTACTATCTTACCTTCCTTACCTCATTACATAACCATTTTTAAAAATAAAATTGATCAAGTGATCTTATAAGAGATCCAGAAAAAAACATAAATGAAAATATTAAAACTTAAAAGTCGAAGGATGTATATCAAAACCTAGGGTTGGACACTGATAATTCAGGGAAAGAAAAGAGTTGGAATAACATAGATTAAAACGATTGCAATAAGAACTTGGAATTGTAGCCTAAAATAAACCATGTAGAAAAAATAGTCATAAAAATTTCCACAATCAAATGAAGTGCTGAAGTACGGAAACCAAACCTGTACATATGCTCCACAAAGTCATCAATCAGAACAGGCCAAGCACCTGGAAAACAACCAAATAACTAAGATCCAAGTGGAAAAGATAGACAAGACATGCAATAGGACAGATTTAGGGAAGCTTAATATTCTTCAGGATCATACCCTTCCAGATTTTCATGTACACACCCACTAAAAGCTAAAACTTGCTGCCACGTATCCTCCGAAATATTGTAACACCGATTTTCCTGAAAGGATATCAAAGACATAAGTTGCCAAAATCAAGAGATTGACAGTAGTCAATAGCGGGCATATTTTCAACCTACGGTGTATCATAATATGCGTCATATATGCACGCCAGACACAAGTATTTCAATCGAAGTGAATAATCAAAGCAACATAGACTTCAGCTTGAACTAATACTGCAGTAACAGAACAAATGTACCGCCCAAGAGACTCGTCATCCATTTTCAAATGCTTGGCATGCACCATAAGATTTTCAAAGGTATGTATAAGGCAACTAAAGTAACATTTTGGAACACTACTCCCTCAGTGACAGACAACTGGAGCAGCAGATGTCATTCCTTGTATGCATGAATGCAGGACAAGTGGAAAACATCTTCTACCCATTACGGTAATAAATAAATCATTTAAAACCAATATCACAATTCTGATGAAATATTCATCCAAAATTGAAGTGGTCGACATTGGAACGACAATCAATAGCTTCATAAGATGTCTCCAAGACAAGCATAACATGTTAGGCTGTAAGCTGCTTGGTATCAGTCATGCTCATACCTCCACAAATGTGAACCATCTGTTAAGCAACCGAAACCTGCCAACTAATACTAATCTACATGCAGCAACCGCCCTGCTTACAGCTATCAATCATGACAAAAGTGAGAATTAAATACGATACGAAATAAATTCCTCGTAATTTACAGCTTAGATAACCTCGATGTTATTCCAAGGAAAAATTAGTAAAATTATTTCCATTTAACTGATTAGCATTAGATAACTTACTAATATTCTTTTGACCATTTTCTCGGCACATGAAGAAAACAAAATCATAGAAGCACGAGAATTCAGAAAAGTCCGCCTACAGGAAACAACAGCAAGACAAATTTTAGTATGGAGAACACGATACTAGAAAATAAAATCAGTGTACCAACAACGAAGAACTTTAAAGATACTCGATACTGAAGTCTAAAATACTAGTTAAATCTGTCCCTCAAAGAACTTCAACGAAGAGGAATCCCACCGTCAGGTATAGTTGTAACATAAGCTTGTGAAGTTCATCAATGATCGCAATCCTGTCAAAGCAAACATAACCAATACTCGATCACTATTGCATGACCAATTATTACACCAAATAACTAATAAACAGGACTGGCTACAGAATCTTGTTTGGATATTCACCTCACTTGGTAATGTCCTGGAGAATAATATATTTCTTTTTCACTCGATGCATAATCATAAATGACATAGTGGCAATCTACACATATGTAGGACAATTGTCACTCAAGCAAATCAGGATGAAGCTGGAATTTTCAAAATTTAAGATGGGATTGGCAGATTCACAAACGCGTTGCATCTTAGACAAGAACCACCAAGAATAGTAATAAGTTCACATGGCATCCCGTAAATATCAAACTGATTCTTTGATTCCAACAATATGTCAAGTGTCTTAAGACTCGTCAACCACTCCTCTAATCTTCCAAAGGCGAACACCATAAACTTATATCTACAGATTCTAGATATGAATACCACCAACTACCTTGTGTGCATCATTGACTCCACCATCTTTAAGAGTTGATTCATTCAATCCCTCGAATACTTAGCTCTTTGAGATTCCTCATCTTTCGGTACCCTTCTTCGCCACGAACATATGCATTTCCTGTTCTAAGTTCTGCAAGACACCTCAAAAGTTAACTAAATAAAGGAAACAATATTTTTTTATATAAAAAAGGTACCATCCCAATCAAAGCACAAACATCTCTGAACAGTTCAAGTTCAAATTTTAAAGCTTTAAGCATATCAGCAACAGACCAAAATCTTAAACATTTTTAACTAATTCTTTGACCAAATCAAATTACATTAATTACCTAAAATTTTCGGGGTACTTAATTACATTAAATTCTTCCATAATTAACTTCAAAATGCCCAAAAAATGAACTAAATAAAATTCAATTATCCCCCCCAATTATTAGACAATAAAAGTAACCCCAAAAAACCCTTATACAAAATTTTCATCCAAAAATTACAGTAATGATCACTTAATTATGGAGGATTTTAATTTGACCATTGATCTTTTAATTTTATTAATCAAACTAATTAGCTATTTAAATAAAACCAATCTAGCAACCCTCCATTAATATTTGACATAGAGATTGATCTAACAGTTTTTAATATTAGTATAAGTACATATTTGATCCTCGTTATTTATACATTATATCAATTATATATGAGTTACAACTAGCATATGAGTTAAAACTAAGCTAAGAGTTTTTCAAAATTATCTGATTCGATTGATATGGTCTGTTAACCCGTCGACTAAAACCTAAAAACTTCGAGTAACTTTTTTAAAAAGATACTCGACCGGGTCGGGTACCTGACCCATGATTTTTCTTGAGTAGTTGGGTCAGGTTTGGGTCGAATTTTTTTATAACCGGGTACCCGACTCGACCTGATAGTTTTAATATATATTAGTTTAAATTATATTTTTATTTTTTAGATTCCTTAATATTTTTACCTTAAAATTCAATTTAAATTCCTAAATTCTTTCTAGGTTTGTATTATATACTTTTGAGTTTTTTTAAATTTTTTTATTAATTTGTCATATGAGATTTGAAGTAAAAAACACAATGACATTGATATTTTTAATATTTCTTTTGGAAACAAACTTTAATATATATATATTCATATATTTGTCATTAAAACTAACTTCAAATCACTAGCTTTTGGGTAAGATTGTGTATATTGTGAACTTTTAAATTTTATGTATTTTCTATGTTATTTTAAAAAATAAAAAATATATATATGAACCCGATAGCCGTGACCCGAAAATACATATACCCGAATTTAATGGACTACCACGACCAACCAATACTATCCGGAGAACCGGATATCGATACATTAGATATAAAAAATACGGATATCCATATTTAAACACCCCTATTTATATATATTTATATATATATATATATATATTAAATAGAGTAAATACAAGAATATCTGAATCACTGGAGTAAATCTAATTATCAGTTTATATATATATTCTAAAATAGAGTTAATGCAAGATTTAGAATAAAAGTGAGCTTTATATTTTAAAATTTTAAATTAAATTTAATATTTTTTTAAAGAGAAATGGGCATGCCGATGAAGACGAATTATTAGTACTTAATTCATGAAGTTTTCAACGGTGGAGTGGCGAACTTTGGAACCCTTATCTCATTCACATGTTTTCTAATTGTGATTAATTTATTTTTTTATTCACTATGTTCCACTAAATTTATTATTAATTGAATGTTTAAAATTAAAAATTTTAAACTTTTACCATAATTATTTCAAATATTTTAAATAATTAAATTTTATAAAATATATGTTTAAAAATTATTTGATCGATGGTTTTTAAAATATTTTTATATTTTTATCAATAATAAATTTTAAATAATAATAAATCAAAGTTAAAAATATTGATCAAAAAGAGTTAATAAAAACAAATTTAATAGGACGAAGAGAATATATTTTTTAATATAAAATAAGTATGATAAAAATTTATTAAGTGATTTTAACAATTAAAAGAAATATTATTCTTTTTAAATATTTTAAATTCAGAGTGGTAAATGAAAAAAATAGGTTAGGCAAATGGCACAACTTGTTGAAAATATAGGTTGGGGAGACATATAATAAAGTTGCTAGTCATTTTGGTGACATTACAGCCCATTTATTTATTATTCCCAGTATGATCCTAATTTGCTTTTCCAAATCAAAACCCCACACCGGTAAAGGGAATCTAAAAAGACTTTCTTTTGCTAGCTTACACGTGTCATCCCCAAACCAAAACCTCCACTCGGCCAGGGAAATTCTCAGCCACGAGAAAGGGAGATTCTTCATCAACTCTCCTTTTTTCACACGTGTGAGAAAACTATTTCTTATTTATTAATTTATTTAATTGATTCAAAACTTTTTCTCACTTTGCTCTTTTTTCTCAGGAGGTGGGGTCCATGCGAGAATGACGCTGATGTGGCAAAATACGTGGTCTGTACAATTCTGTTGGTTGGTGGGACCCATGGACTCGGTGCTTTAAAAATCGAACGGTGACATGGATTTTCTTTTTCTATGGGTTTATTTTTTCAAATTAAAAAAAAAAATCTTCAATTTTGATGGTGAAGTATTAATACTTTTTTGAGATGTTATTGTTAAATGGTATATTATAATTTTAGTATCTGAAATTTATATTTTTAAAAAGATAATATAATTCTAAAAGATTAAATTATTTTATTTTATTTTATTTTACTTGTTTTTATACTATGCTTGATTATTGTAGCACCTTATCCACATTTAACAAGCAATTAGGTTTTATTTTTACAAATGAATTGATTAATGTAAGCAGCAATAAGTTAATGAACCACAGAAAAAGATACGAAAGGACTGGAAAGTGGAACAATGGGCCGACGTATGACCTCAACCACATACTACGCCAAAAATCTATAAATAAATAAATGAATATTTTATAGTGGAATTCAATCCAAATTAACTTCAAGTAAAAAGGTTAATTTAGTATCTCCATATTCATCTTGAAAATATAATATATCTTTATTTAATAAAAATAAGTTGATATAATATTTTAATATTTGTTTTAAAAAATATAATATCTCTTCAATTAATGAAAATAATGAAAAATATTAAAATTAGATTAAAACAATCTAATACAACCATCTATTCTTTTTAACCTAATGTTTGACAAGTAATAAGAGGGAAAAGGCAAGCAACACAAATTTCTTCAAATGGAACATAGATTTGATCATATATATCTGCCTATAATTTTTATATTTATAAGTCATGCAATCATATAAAAAGTTTAAAAATAGTATATTGAAATTTTAAATATGCCAATATTTTATTGCCAAAAATACACTGTCTTTATTAAACATATAATATTTTATCACAATTTTAAAATATATTAAATGAAGTTAGGGAAAAAATAAAACAAAATAAATAAGAGAGAGAGAGAGAGGGAGGGAGGGAGGGAGGGATCATTTTAAGGCCACAAAGGAACTTGTGGATGAAAATGCTCCTTTATGCTGATGTGGCATATCAACTTGTTTAAACAAATCTAAAACGTAAACTCCACGAGACCATCATCTCTTTATACTATTTTTAGGGTAAATTATATGTTTAGTATCTAAACTATTATATTTGTTCTATTTTAGCATTTAAACTTTAATTTTTTTCAGAATTATGTATAACATTTAATTTAAGTGTCAATTTGACACTCATTCGTTAAAAACTTAAAGTTGACTTTGTTGTGTTATCATAAGATAATGCTACAACATCATTGAAAAATCAAAGATGCCTAGTCAGTTGTTCTGTTATTTTTTTAACACGGGTACTGAGTTGAAACATAAATTAAATATTAAGTATAATTTAAAAAAATAAAATTTAGGCATCAAAACGAAATAATCATAATAGTTTAGACACTAAATATATAGTTTGCTCTTTTTTATCAAGAAAAGAAAATATATTAAGAAAAAGTGGAAGATCGGAGCATTGTTATTATAAACCGAGTATTTTATCTTGCAATTAAAAAGTTATTAAATTAAAACACGAATTAATTTAATTAAATGGTTAAAAAAATCGTTATTATTCTTAAAGGTCACAGGTTCAAATACTAACAATTGCAAGGGGATGATTAAATATTTATTTTTAAATGATTGAAAGTAATTAGAATATATATTATTTTGTAATAATCTTTAGCTTAATAAAAAAAGTTTATTGAATCAAATGATATATGTTTGTGCAATGTTTGTGTTATATTAATCTCAATATATTCTTGTAATAATTTTTTATGTTATATCATATTTAAAATATATTTGATATTTTACTTCATTTTTATTAAGTTTATTATTTTGTTTACCATAGAACTAAATATTTTGAGTGCTTGACCCTTTATCGTAATTTATCTTTACTATTTTTATTCCCTCAAACCAACCCACAAAAAGAAAAAAAGCTATGAAAAAGGGTGGGGGAAAGGTCAAAACTATTTTGAAGACAGCATTATAAGTTTGTATGATAGCAGTCAGATTTTGCTACAAATCTCTCTCTCTCTCTAGAAAGTTTCAACTTTTAGTTTTGTGTTGGCTAAGGATTTAGGGAAGAGAAAAAAAAGACAGAGAAAAAGAAGAAAAAAACAGGGTAGAAACACAGAAAATGTCGGAACCAAAAGATCCGGCGATCAAATTGTTTGGGAAAATGATCACTTTTCCTGAGAAATCTCCGAAAGTAGCAGCGGATGACTTCTGTGTTACTTGTGGTGATGATAACAAAAACGATGATAATGTTGATCAAGATCAAGGTCGTTGTTGTTCCACAAATTCTTCACCAGAGGAAAATAAAGGGGAACAGAGAGAAGAAGAAGAAGCTGAAAAGGTCAGGAATTTTCTTTTTTAAATTATTGTTTTGGGAATTTTGGTGAACACCCTTTGCTTAGAATATGGAAATGAAAGAAGGGCTGGTCTTTGATTCTTTGTTTTGGCAATAAAAATGGTTGTCTTTTCAATGTTAAAAATATTTCATTATTAGGAAACTGGTTAAATTGTGGATCTTGGTTTAAGTAGACTTGAGGTTTTTCGAAGTTAGGATTGGCTTTCTGGATGTATTTTCTCAAGCATAATCCAATTATTCGTGATAAAATATT